TACAGTTTGTCATTGAGAATTTGTAACATTAAGACACTGTCAATTTAAAATTTATTTTCAAGGCTTATGTTAAAAACTGATGTTGATTGAATATTATTATTATATTCCCACTATAATTTACAATAATATCCATATTAAAAACGGCACTAAACCATATCGTTTCATAAACTACAATATTAAAAGTTGCGTTTTATTAACTACAATAAGCTTGCAGTCAAATCTAACCCATCTATTATACAACTATTCGTGAAACTCTGCAGCTGCCCAAACTAGATGTACCTGAGAGAAAATTTTCGATATTGAAGAAACCAAACGCTAGCACATTTTCGAATAAGGCGAACTTGGCTGTTAGTATTGATCGAAAGATACAACATTAATTTTGTTTTTCATCATTATGCTTGCAGAATTAGTCTGAGAGCAGTTACATTTGATAGATTACAGCCGAAAACATCGTGAACGAAAACGTGGCCGAGAAAACAATGCAAAGCGAAAACGTCGTGATACAAAACATCGTGGGAGAAAATAAAGCAAAGAGAAAACATCGCAGTTCTAAAACATCGTGGTACGAAATATCGTCGTCGAAAATATAACGGTTCAAAAACTTCGCAGTTTAAAAACATCGTCGTCGAAAATATCGTGGTAAAAAATAAAGTACTTACAAAATTATCGCATGATGATAACATCGCAGACATGATTTTTAAGGCTTTAGTAATTGCAAATGGATATTCGCATAATAATTTGTGTGCGCAAGATGGAGGATAATTTTCACATTCATATTTTTTATTAATTAATACGTTTTTAAAAAAGCAAAACAAGAAATTTAAATAAAACAAGAAGTAATTTTCATTATAAGAGTATCAGATTAACAAAAGTGAAGAAAATTATCTCATAATTAACTTAGAATTTTTTACTTATCTTTCTTTTTCTATTATTTTTTAGATAATACTTTTCTTGAAAAATTACCAGTAAAACTAATAAAAAATATTTTATTAATGACCTTTGTTAGTTAGCTATGTCAGTTTGAAGTTCTATAGATTGCATTAATTTTCTATACTTAAGTTTCCATTTTACATTTTCAGCAAATACTTATTAGTTAATAAAAAATATGAAAGTAAAAATTATCCTTCTTTACATCTTGCGCTCACAAACCATTATGCGAATTTTTACAATTATTAAAAATTATTAAATTTTACAGTTATTAAAGCCTGAAAAACTCATGTCTGCGATGTTATCTCATGCGATGATTTTTAGGTACTTTAATTTTTACTACGATATTTTCGTCGACGATGTTTATAAATTGCTAAGTTTTTGAACTGCTTTATTTTCGACGACGATGTTTTGTGCCATCATGTTTTAGAACTGCAACGTTTTCTCTTTGCTTTATTTTCTTCCACAATGTTTTGTACCACGACGTTTTCGCCTTGCGCTGTTTTCTCCGCAACGTTTTCGTCCTCGATGTTTTTGCCGCGACATTTTCGGCGGATACCGTTTGATAAAGGTCTTTTTTTATTTCATCAGCATATTCATTAGATTTGCAAACAAACTGGTTTCAGTTAAAACATTTTATTCCCTTATGCACTAGTTTCACAACCTTTATTTTTCGCAATTGAGTTTCTCAATTTATTTTTGTCGCAATCTTTTAACTGAAATTTCACACATTTTATTTATTCGTCTAATCGGTATATTTTATCTTTTTGAGAAAGAATTTCCTTCTCTTTTGATATACTATCTTTTTGATAGGTTTTTCTCCTTTTCTTAAAGAATTCTTAATGCATCAATTGCATCTATATCTTTTGATTTGATAATACTTCTTTAGTTCTTTCCAATGCTTCACATTCCAAACAAACTTTAACACCGTCTTTCTCAGCTTCAATCTTGTATTTCATTTCAATATTTCAAATCTTAATTGGGCCAATCTTGTTTTCCTCTATAGTAGTCATTGTTTTATTAGAAATGAAATTTTCAACTAAGTGTTTTACTTTAACTTACATTTTTATTAACATCCGAACAAATATCTGAGTAATATCCTTGTTATACATTTATATACATTAAATTATAGTGAACTTATAAGGTATTTTCTTCCTTCTTTCAGCATGTCTTCGTTGTGTGACGGTAGCACACTCGGCAGGTATTCGAGCGGTCCAGGTTCGTGTTCTGGAGAGAGCATTGCACATTTTTCCTCATCTCCTGCTTCAAAAAATAACATAATGCCTCTACAAATGGCACTCGAACTAAAAAAGGTGATGGGCATAATTCGTCACCACCAGGATTTGGCGACTGGGTCTTCTAATTCCCTGTCGCCTTTTAAAAGTGGGAGTATATAAGGTATTTTCTCTCATTTCTTTCTTCTATGCGTTCGTAGCGTAACGGTAGCACATTCGGCGCGTATTCCAAGGGTCCCAAGTTCGTGTCCCGATGAGGGCATTGCGCTTTTCTCACGTCTCCAGCATGGATAAACCCAATGACTCTACAAACTTCTAATTTACAGGAATACTCCCTTTGTTATTAGTATTTTTCATTAGTCGAACCAGCCCATTCCCAATAGCATTTTAAATTTTTCCATGAGGAACAACATAATATTGGATATAATCTCATATTCAACAATTCTACTGAACCTTTAAAATAGTGAGTAGGTTTTATTTTCTTATTACTAAAGTCTGCCAAGTTAAAATACTAGGTCAGCCAATTACTATAGAAATACTTTTCGCATCTATAAACACAGTTTTACTCGTATGTATATCATTTAACTGTTTGTTGTTTACACATACATGATTGACGACGCTTAAAACTGTTTTATTTCTCCCACATTCTGCAGCTACGTGACCAAATAAATTACACTGAAAGATTTTTCGCCTTTATACTTACAAATTCACGTGACTAGGATTCTCGCAGTTGAAGCAGGGCATTTGCTCTTATTTTACCTTCTTGAAATTCCGCCAAAGATTTACACCTATAAAGAATTGATTTATCTTGTGCAGAACGATTTATGCCATTAATAATATATTCCACCAAAACGGCATTTTCAATATTATCTTTGGAACACAGATTTTTAATTAACAGAAAGTGTTCATATAGAGTTTCTTTTCTTGCATTTTACATTCAGATAACAGTTCGTGTAATTGAGCACAAAATACCATATTCATTTAATAATAAATCATTAAATGCATTCCATGAATTTACTTTCGTTTCGCTTTCAATGAAAAATTCTGCATTTGCAGTTACATATTCTTTGCCAAAAAAGTAATTTTTGCAGTTCGTTTAGTTTTAACAAATTTGATACATTCTCAAAGTTTTCAATAATCGAACTGTATCATTACATCAGTCGAACTGTATATCATTATATCAATCGATATCATTTTATCATTATATCAACGTTATATCAATCAAACTGTACGCATTATAATCAATTTTGGAAAGTAAACTTTCAGTATCTTTGAAACCTATTTGAAAATTGCGAAATCTGAATTTGCATTGCAAATTGATCGCTTATAACATTCTAGTTTAAATGTAAAATCAGTAAAATATCTTAAGTCGCTTTCTGTTCTATCGGTATTCTTCGTTATGAAATATAAATTCATGTAACCACTTAACATTTTCTACTTTAAAACATATTTTATAGCAATTTCAATTTCTTTTATATCTTATTGAGTCATTAGGTTATTTTGATGCTGGAGACATGAAAAATGAGCAATGCCCTCTCCGGGACTCGAACCTGGACCTCTGGAATACGAGCCGAGTGTGCTACCGTTACACCACGAAGGCATACAGAACGTAGAGAAAATACCTTATAATCTATTAACTTCTTTTTGCAATATAGAACACAATTTAAAGTTAATTTACCTATTTCAGAAGTATTTTAATCCCACGTGTTCGGAATTGTATCCTTTTCAGATGAATAAAAACAATCGAATCATCAGTTCTTGACAAAATCCATGCAAACACGAGGCAATGTGATATTGAAGTAGCCGTTTCCCGAAACTATTATTAAATTCACTGCCAAACCCCCAAATATTATGGGACTTTACCACGGACGAGTAACTATACTTGCATTATTACTTACAACACATATTTAATATCAGATGCAAGACATATATAATATCAAGGACGTTTTATCATCTTCCAGAAATGTATGTCTTACTCGCTTCTTACACTTCCTGAGACAAATTAAAGTTCTAATTAACGTACACTGGCGCGAAAGTAAAATATTTAGAGCATGAAGTTAGATATTTTTTAATCAAACATATGTAGGAACTGAAGTTACAGCGCTTAAATAACTGGAGATAAAAGCTTAAGTTATAATGCTTGAAATTTATAATATTTAATGATATATGTAAATTTGCTTCCTAATTGTAATAACTTGTATTTACGTTGTATATCGTCGTTGCTGTTATGGTTCTCAGATAAAAAGAAAGTGAAATGCAAGGAACTGGAAACAGATCAGGATTATAAAGGCAAAGGAAGATGAGCTGACCGAGTTCGTATACGTTACCGAATTTCCTGTTATAGACAAGATTTTGCAAGGGACTATGTATCGCCATTTACATTGGAAAGACGCTTTAATTTTTAATTAAGGATAATTCCAGCATGCGATCTATTTAAACTTGTAATGATGATATGGGAAGAATAGCGAAAACTCAGTCAGTTAGGCCTCTCAGTATACATACAACGAACTCTGAAAGAATTATTCCAGTTTTCTATTCTGGCCGCTCGGCCACCAGCAAGCTGTTCTTTTTTTTAAGTCTAAATTTACGTTTATTTATATGAAACCCTTTACACATTAGCATTTTTGAGGAATGGTATTCTTCAAAAATGCTAATGTTTAAAGGGAGGAATGTTATTATAGTTACAGTGTTCGTATCGTTAATTTATAGAAAGCCTGTGTTATCTCTAAAATCTTACATAAATTTATATATTGTATTACGTCATATATGTATGATTATGAACATCTAATTATATCCTAAAATATCTGATTTCTTTTTGATTTTTTCTTCCAAATACAGGTTTATCATGCGGTAAAGATGAACGCCTTGCCGCTCCAGCTAGTGAATGTAAGTTCTTGCAAGTTTGATATTTTTATAGAAACTGCCAGTAGAAAACTTTCGTTTTTTACATTAACGCGTTCATTCTTTTCAATTTTTAATTTTGTACATACCATCTTTAGAGACGCAAACCTGAGAGTGATAATATAGGGAAAAGATATCTTTTTCATATTAATAAGAAAAACAAAATACAAACTTTCACTAAAAGAAAAGCATTGAATTTATTTATTTAGTTTTTGCGAAAGATAAGCTTGTAACTTAAATTTTACGACTCGTATTGTTTATGTTTCTTATTTACTGTACAGAAAAATGAAAAGGTGTTTTGCATCTGTCTTTTGAAATTTAAATCCTTCCAAAGACTTCGGAAAGCAATTCATTTGAAACTGACTTGTGTCACTTTGCAATCATTCTGAAGTAAGTTTGCTTTGATTAAAAACGTAAGAGTCCCGAAACGCATTCATTTACTAAAAATGTGATTTAAAGCCTTTTCGTTTTTCACTTCGAAGTTCTTTCCATGTGATCAAAGGAATTACCCGTAATTTTAAGGTTATCTCTTCATAAGCAGCAAAAATGCAAATGAGTTTCTCTCAGAACGTTATCTACAACGATTACCTTCTCCTCCGAGATAAACAGATAACTTGTGAGAACCACTTGCTTATCTTCTAAGTGACAACTATACGTGAAGTAAGTGCGTATAGGAGCTTCACGCGTCAACTTGAGGCTAACACACTACGCCTCACCCGGGCGATAACTGAAATAACAGAACTAAATTAAAAATTCGAAGATATTAACAAGTAGTAGAAATCACGTTACAGGGTTCAGAAAACTGATATTACTTAACCCTTTCCGGCACGCTACCTTTTAAAGTCGTAGTTTTAATTTAAAAAAAAAGAAAAAGATAGGCAGTCTAGTTAGACCTAGAGGAGTACACAAGTAAAATTTTGTGAAGATAGCACTTATCGTTTTAACTCTGTGGGTGTGCCCAAAGTGGACACACTGATTGAACAGAGCTTCGAAAAGAGTGCTGAAACGAGCATTGTTGTCAATAAACTGACCGATAAAAGGCAGAGAAACAAAGAAAACAGACTTTCAGTTGTCCTAGATTATCGGTGAACCCGGTCTGGGCACACCTAGGGTTCGTCGTTTGGTTTTAGGCAAGATTTCAAGGTAAAAATTTAAAACTAATATAGAATAAGGAGATTAACATACAGCCAAAAAATAACATGGAAATTTCTTTTCAAACAATTCCTTTTAAACCCTGAAAAAAATCTGGGTACTATTCGGTTTTGAGGGCTGTAAAAATCCGCCAAACTATTGTTGATGCCAGTGCTGCCAAAAATAATTGCGGCAATCCTAACGCAAGAAAGAAAGTATAATAGTAAATAACTATCTAAGATTGATGTTTTAATTTAGGTGAAAAGGTAATTTCACATAATATTTTTTTATTATTATAATTTATATCAGAAAGGCTAAACATGACTGAATGGAAGCATAAGAATAAATAATTATTTCAGATCATTATTATAATTTACATAAAAATTTCTAAACATAACTGAATGAATGCCTGCATCGCTATTTCGCTACCGAGTTATCGCTAAAGCATAACTTCCTCTCGTTGGTTGTTCAAACATAATTTTATATAATAAATTATGCCTTTTCTTTGAAAAAATTCTCGGTAAAGTGCAGAATCGCCCTTATTTGTTTGCCGCTTTTTAAAAGGGCAAAAACAAATGGATTTTTGTCAATCTTCTTTTACTTTTTAAATGAAAATAGGTCGATGTTTACATAGACAAGTCAAGGGTACGCGTAATGCCATTTTTGTGCAATTCTGGGATTTTTTTAAGTGAAATTAGGTCGATGTGTACATGGATACCGAGTATGTGCAATTCTTAAAAACGGGTTAAGCATTGGTTGATTCTGCATTTACCCAAAATTCGATTGCAGACTTTTCGTCATGGGCAGTTCCCAAATTGTTAAAATCCATAGGATATCAAAAAAGGATTTTAAAAATTAAACTAGTATTTCAATGGCATCTTAAAAAATATAGAGCTATATAAACTTATGCAATCTGAAATCAGCGCGTATGCTAGATTTGGCACTTTTGCGCATACATTTTCGCTGCAATTTTTTTACGGTCCTCAAAACGGAATAGTACCAAAATCTGGAAGATTTTTTGAAAAATGAGGGTCTTAAAAAAACTAAACATGGCTAAAATATATGGACTGGTTTGTGTTGAGCTGCCATATACTATAAATTAAGAAGGTTCAGAGTAACCTATAGTAACCTATAAATCCTTTTTCATTCAATGTTTCTGTGCATACGGAAGGAAATTTGTAGGTGTGTCCAGACCAGACATACTGTGCCGCAAAGGGTTAAAATGGCGTCGAAACTAGTGGCAGCAGTCGAAACTAGTGGCAGCAAAGTAAATGCTGTTAAGCCACGTAAATCAGCAATAACTGCGGAAATAGACGCTCACAACACAAAGGTGACGTAAAATCGAATATGCTATCTAAAACTAGGTATTTAATTTTTTTCTCAAGGTAGAATTTGCATTTCTTCACACGCGCTATCAAATTAAAATATTTTGGCATTGACAACTAGGGGAATGATGGCTTATAGGAAAGAACTATTTGGAATAAAATTGGTTACTTAAAATAAATATAAATATTCCTACAAAACTCTTGTTTTGTCAAAACTGAACAATCGAATACAATATTCGTATTCTCTCTTTAACTTAGCGTTTCGCAGTCCATGATCCATCACCCTTAAATAGCTATTGAGGAAGTAATTCCAGTCTAGATAGTTTTGCATGGAAACGAGAAAATATTGAGATTCTTTTGAGATTATATGCATAGTGCAAAAATGAGAGAGGAATTTAGGATACAATCTCAACGCTTTCTCATTTTCACAGTGCAAAAAATGCTTCTATTCATGACAATAAATTTAAGTTAACTTTTTCTGTTTCTGAACTGGCAAGGTTAAAATTGCTTGCTCATAGCTTTTCGATGAAATAAGCTGAAATGAATATCATAGCAACAACTGGTTGTAACGAGTAGGACTTAATTAGAATAAATTACGTTTATGATGGAAAATGCCTAACTGCTCTTCGCGCATTACTCTAGCATAATTAGAGCATCGATCCGGCTTGGTAAACCGACATTTCTGAAAAATGCTGCTACCGAGGACTTTTCCCAGTTTTATAGCAGAGTATCTTTAATTTGTTTTTCTGATTATGAAAGTGCAGAATATTGAAAATGAGAGAATTAAAAAACATTATACATCTTGGTAAAATTTTCTTTACTTTTTAAACCGTAGCTGACTGATAATTGCTATAAACATATATACATTATTGGTGTAATTAATAAAAAATGTGGGTACATTTCTGTTTTGCCGGCGCAAGTGATAAAGTCTCCAATAATGGTACAACTGATGCCAAACGGAATATCTTCGCTGGTAACCTTTTACGCTCCATTTTCAAAACAAGTCACAGCCTTTTCTTATCAGATTGATTGTTTTTTTTTCAATACTGGCATACAATTGCATAGAATATTTACAAGATAGTTAAATTCTATGCCCTAAGACCATTCGCGGTAATTAAGTCACCAAATTCAATTAGCACTGAGGAAGTAAAATTCTGAGAGCTAATTTTTTTAAAGCTACTCGTGCGATTTTTACAAAATTCGGCGGTTTGGAATAATTGGAGTCCTAGAATCGAAATATGGAAAAAAAAATTGACATGCCATTCCAGAAAAAGGTCCTGTCAAAATACCTATATTATAACAATGTTATATATAAATCTAATACATATCCTAAGTCGCGCTTTCGAGACATGAGAAACGCAAGTTGAATTACGTCAATAGGCCCAGTAGAACGGGCGATATAGAACTGCCCCCTTTTTTTCTTCCGCACAGTATACGTGGTCTTTTGCTTATAATAGTGACTCTGACTGACATATTTCTTTCGTTACGTTTAATAGAGCAGCACCAATTAAAATACTTTCAAATGTGTCTTTTTCTTAGAGAAACCAATAATTTCCACTTGATATTTACAAAAAAGTCCAATTTCTTTAAAATATCATGTCCTAGGATGCATGAATCTCGCGCGTGAAAAGTAAAGGTTGCCTCTTCAAAGAGAGGTAGCTGCATTCCGTCTTAGAGTTTACAATGTATCTGTTTACAATGTACAGCCACTTACTATCTAAACTTTACATAGTAAGTGATTTGGGGAGTATACATGGAATTTCTCGTGCATTTATGAGGAATTGCTTCATACAAGTGTTTTCCTTAAACTATTTACAGTTAGTTATTTTGCTGTGTGCCATTATTTTTTGTTACAATAAACCATCAATTTCCTCCTGCTCAATTCGGAATAATTATTCAAAGAGGGAAGAAAGAGTATGTAAACTTGCAATAACGGTATACTATAGTGTTTGGCATACAGTGACATGGTGCTATACTCTGCAGCATAGTGGAATATGATCTATATGGAACATGATCGCATTCTTGAATCTCAAATAGTAACCCACGAATTTGCTCCTAATGGAATATTTATCAAAACAAACGCTAAAATTGCGCAAAAAATAATTCAAAACACATATCAAGTGCGACTGATTTTTGCTAATTATGTATAATTAATAAAATGCGGTTTTAAAAATATAACGAAGATACTTTTCATTCATTTTTACTTCCTTGTACGAAGTAAAAAGGAAGTATTGTAATCGCGAAAGTTTCAAGCAGCATATTTTAAGGAAAATATCCATTTTGACCGCTATCGAATGCAATTTAACGATGATTTTGCATGATATCTGTACGTAAGGACAGAATAAAAGACTCTTTTCCTCCAAAAAAATTATAAAATTGCTTTAAAATGTATTCTGAAGAGAATTTTTCGTGGCGTCTGTACGAACGTATGTACTTACGTATCTCGCATAACTCAAAAACGAGCAGCCTCAGAACGTTGAAATTTTGTATATAGGACTGCTATAACATGCAGATTGCACCTCGATTTTGGGTTGCAATCGTCCGCAAACCAAACGTATATAAAGATATTATATATATATCCACTCTGTTACCCCTGCTCAGGACTCTTATATGTTTGTAAATTGTACAATTTTTTTTTTTTTTTTGGCTTTAAAAATGATCGAATTATGTTGTTCTTATCTTCCGGTTAAGATTTTTATGCCTTTAGTAAATATGTATGCAATATTTTTAGAATTATCAACAATTTTAAAGTTGTTTAAGTGCCGCTAAGCCTAATAATTTTTTTGATGGCGGCCATTGCTTGTTTACATTTGAAACAGCAGAGTAGTGGATTTGTTGCCAATCTAGAGAAACGTAGCTTTGCAGCAACAAAAATAACGCTTTCATTTATTATTGTGAATTAAATCATGCTTAATCCTTTCTGGAATTTTTTCGAGGAAATAAGTGTTTAAGATTTACTTCGTAATTTTTAATACAGATATTTTGAGTTTTTATGTATTTTTGCCTTGTCGTGAAGTGAGAACTGAATTAATTGAATGAGAAATACTCAATAGTCTGTAAAAAAACTGTTTATTTTTTGTTTTATTTGCTTAATTTCTTTTATACATCGTTCTAGCTTTATTATAGTATTGGAATAGAACATTTGGAAACAATTAGATAATTCTTTAAATCATATAAATTTTGCGCATTCTGAGTTATAATATGAACGAAATGTAATACTGTTAAGTGAACCTAGCGCCAGAGTGTCGCTATGGTAAACAATTAGAGTGCATTTATTCTATTGTGGTATGCGCTGTCGGCGAAGTAGATTTAATTCAATCCAATAAGTTTAAACGAAATGCAAGAAAAAATGCGTATAATTTAATATTCCGTACAAGGAAGTCATGTGGTGTACATATCAGATATTTTACTCTGCTCTAGCTCTTAGAAGAAGGAAGAATGTAGCAAGAAGAAACTCTAAAATATATCTGAGAATTTACTGAAAATAACATTTGAAAGAGTCTTGGTTTATTTTATTTTTAAGCAAAATGCTGTTTAATATAATTATAATTGCGCTAAAGTATTAGTTAAACCTCTATAAACTAAGTGCGAGTTTAAAATCTCTTACCCTATTATACAAGCGGCCGAGTCGTGTTCGACCTAGCACGAATTAGAAATTTATCATTTTTGAAATTATTCCAAATAATGTTTGGTTAATTTTATGTTTTATTTCGGGCATTAAATAAGATTTTAAAATTTCCGCCAGCAGCGTTAAATTTATGAACGTCTTCCTCGATAAATGCAATCGTAACGAAATTAAAAAACTTTTAATTGCTGAAAAAGCGAATATTAAATTAATTTTAATATACAATTAAAAAACTTTATCTTCACTTTAATTATGCTTAAGATAGCTTTAGAATTGCATGTTTTTAAATTCCTTCTTTTTCTCTCTATCCACTTCTCCCACTTCGGGTACAAAAAGTTTTGGATAGTAAGTTAAACCGCTTTTGTTGCATATTGATACTTAAAGAAATAAGTAAAATACTTTAAAAAGGGGTATTCTTATTTGTTATATTAGTTTGGAAATCTGATTTTTTAATTGCATTTTAAACTTTACTATGAACATATCTTATTACATAGTGTACATTAAATCTATTTTATTTAGAATTTTATGCTGCCATCTTCACAAATGTATGTTAAAAAAGCTGTTATATTAAAAAATATTTAAAAAAATCATTCTGGTCTAAGCTTATATAGACAGAATCAAAAAGCTTACAAATTTTGTGAGTTACATGTTTTTGGGTATATCATAATTTCCTATCTTTTTTCCTTTTTTAATGCTATTTTTCTGTTTGCAACAAGAGCTCTCTTTTTTATGGGGAAAAATATTTTATTTTTCGCAAAGAATGTAATTATCGCCGGAAGTGTCTTCTGTGCGCAAACAGAGCAGCATTTATATTTTTCAGTCGAACGTATGACCCCTGTTTATACTGAAATGTTCTTTTCTTTTTTTTTTTCCGTAGGTCTTCTCCTGTTCCTTTTCCACACAAAAAAAGAAGCGGTAGAGCTCGCTGTAACGCAGAGAATGACTGTCGAGGTAAGTATTAATCCCAAACTTTTCTTTTCGAGCCACAATGTAGAAGTGCAAAGAGAGTGGCATACTTTTGCCTGACGTAAATAGGAACTAAATTTAAGCCGCCTTTAGTATCGGCTGTCTAGTTGCTATCCTTAGCTTGGACAAGGAGCAGAACACAGCGTTTGTCTAATTTCTTTCTGTACGTAAGACTAGAAACCAAATGCATTGTGCGTGAATAACAAGAGTAAATCATCAGCAATTATTTTAAGGTATTTGGGAAATTGATATTGACCTTACCCTAATTTTAAACATAAAACTGATCCTAATTAACAAAATTATTGTAATTAAAACTGTGTTTCTTAATATATATTTAAAAACTCCGCATTCTAAAAACTTCAAGCTACAATTTCATCATTACGTAACCCTTCTGAGGAGATTTTACTACTAATAAGTAAAAGTAATACTTACTAATATCAATTACTAAAGTTAAATCTTTATTATTATATAACATCGGAACACAAGTAGAAAAAAAAATTCTTATTTGGAAAACTCAGAAGCTCATTTCTGTATTTTATTCTGGAGCATACAGTGGTGTGAATAAGAAAATATCAAAATATTAAAAAATACATTACTATTTGAAAAAGATGGCAGTTGGAGTAAGATTGAAGATTAAAAAGTATATAAAGAACTGCAAGCTACATATTACTAGCCCAAAGGGCGTTAGCGCAGAAAAACTGTTAATTTCGTTTTCTCATTTTACGTCGAAAACATCAAAAGTTTGAATCCCTTTTCAAATTGTTGCCACCAAATATCATCGCCCTGCATTCTATTTAAAAAAATTACGCATTGAAGAATCTGCATTAATGTATGTATGTTTCTCACATTGTGAAAAATGACGGTACGTTGAGCAATTCAATTTTGAATAATGTACGTCTCCACCCGAATATCGGCATCTGGAAGCCCGAATTTGGAATTTGTTTATTATATGTTTCATATTTTGTAAAGCATTTATGAGTTTTTGATTAAGAAACTCAACGATTTCAAAGCGAGCAATGACTACTCTTGTACGGGTGGGGGGCATTTTTATCTCCAGCGCGCGAGACTGTATCGGAAATTCTAAAGATATGCTGTTTTTAAATATTTTTTGATATTGCTGTTGAATTGAATACAAATTTTGAATTGATTCAATTAAGCTCCAAAGAACATGATATTTAATAAATAAAGGTAAACACACAAAGCATCAAAAAAAAAAAAAAAAAAAAAAAAAAAAAAAAAAAAAAAAAAAACATAATATAAAATCTGAAAATTTTCAGTTTTTTTTTTTTTTCTTCTTTTTTTTTTCAAAATTTAATCATTATCATTAGATTTTATGAATTATGTAGATGATAATGTACAAAGAGATAAAATCAGAAATTTTGTAATCTATACATTATATGGTGTTAGGAGCCTATTTTATTAATAATACAAGTAGTATAAAATAATACTTGTTGCAAAATGCTCCGAAGAACTACATATACTAATACTAATATGCATCCGAAGAACTAATATAACATTTTAAGTGATTCACATTGTTAATGTTTATAAACAAGATACTTTATAATATGAAAAATAAATAATGGATTTTAGACTTTCTAATTGACAACAGTTCTGATCTTAATCTGTGTCAAACATGAACATGAACACCGCCAAGAGGAGGGAGCAATAACATTCTCGGCATAATTTATCTACAATATCACATTTTGTTCATAATTCATGTTATCTCTTTGCCCAAGCTTCTGGACCTTTAACATGAAATTAAAAAAAAAGTCCATCTTCGAATATTTCATGCGTTTAGTGCCTCATAAAATTTGTTCTATGTATTTGCAAGTACTGTTAATCCACCCCAGTGATCTAGCGGTTAAGACTGCTGAGTACTAGTAGCTTGTACTAAGTTCGAGCGCAAGCGGAACGTGTTGACTGCATGGTTCCTTTTGGTGGTTTTCTTTATGTTTACGTGAATACGAGCCAGTTTTCCTCACAAAGTCATCCACGAAGGCATTCTTCTTCTTAGACAGATAGCCCGTGTGCACTTTGCTATATGCAAATAATAGAGTGGAACTACACGGAAACAGCAAATAAATTTAGTTGAATTACTTTTAAAAAATTTTTAAAATTTAATCATTATCATTAGATTTTATGAATTATGTAGATGATAATGTACAAAAGAGATAAAATCAGAAATTTTGTAATCTATACATTATATGGGGTTAGGAGCCTATTTATACAAATGGTATAAAATAATACATGTTGCAAAATGCTTCGAAGAACTACAGGTAATATAACATTTTAAGTGATTCACATTGTTAATGTTTATCAACAACATACTTTATAATATGAAAAATAAATAATGGATTTTAGACTAAAGGAAAAGAAAGGAGACTTTTTTCAGAAATGTCAGGAATTGTGATTATCGGGCTGTATATCACAGGTGTTAAAATTTTAAGCGTCCAGTTTTTAGTCTTGAAGGTATTGTGACAGCAGAAATTATCATTGAAACTGTAATGATGTTTAGATTTAGTACTTGGCAATGTTCACCGATACATATTCTTAATTCACCGATACATACTTCGAGTTTGAATCTGAGTATATTAAAGTATGGTAACCGATATACACTCACAGCTTCAAAATTCAAAGTATGCTCTGAATAAGATGTAGAGTCTCTTAGGCTTTCTGAATTAAGAAATAGAAACAATCAGTAATGCTCTCTCCAAGATTTGATATTCTTAGCTCGTGATCGCTGTCTAGACGTGTTTCCAGTTACACCACGAAGGTAAGGGGGGAAAGATGAAGGAAATTACTTAGATTCTCCCCACTTGAAATGCCACCGGGGAGGAAGGAACGTATTCACCAAATCTATGTAGCTCGGAATTATCGTTAACTGCATTTTAGTTTGGGTGTCACTCGTAGAATCTTTTAGAATTTTTGAAACGATAAACATGAAACAGCTGTACCCTCCCAGGGACTGAAACTCCGAAATTTCTGACTGCTAACTGGACGTCCTTCCAGTCACGTGAAAGCACGCAATAAGGAATGAAAACGTTTGCTTCAAAGAACAATAACATGCGCTTAAATGCGCTTGCTTATGTCACAAATTTCTCTTTAAAGTTATAGTTGCGATAAAAATGTGCTTGAATCTATCTCTTTTCAGATAAGGGATAACAATATGGAACTTATGCAAAGGAAATAAAAGTAACGTAATTAATGCAGGTGTAAATCGAAAATCATTATAATGTTTAGTTTGATGGATTTAGATACCAGCTCAGTTTTCCCCCTTTCAGAGCTTAATTTATTTATCAGGTTTGAAATTAATCACTTTCTTTCTTGACTCAGTTGTTTAGGTACTGAGTTGATAGTTTATAGCAATGGATAAAATTGTCTTTTCTCCGTATTTTAGGATAAAGCAAAAATAAATAAATAAATGGATGGACGGACGGATTTAAAGCTACTAAAAATATCCTTGATCAAATAGCGGAAAATTCGCAAAATCGTATATTAGCAGCACAGGGTTGTCAGAGGTAACAAATTTGCAAAAACTGAACCATTTGGCAACACTGAGTTGAACTACAAGGGCCTGAACGGCAGTAATGCCATAATTACATTGATAGTTATTAAGGAAGATGTTAATCTAGAACTTCGCCTACAGCGCTTTCGAGAAAACACGAAAAGTGAAACATTACATTCTCGGAAGGACTTGATTCTAATTAATTATATTTTCTCTACTTTAAGAAGAACTGGGTGAAATACACGAAACCCAGTCTTCTAAATTCAGGGGCGAATACGAATAGTAGTCCATTGCGCTTTAGTTCCGTTGCCTCTGTAAAGTGAATATCAAGCTTTTCAAAGCAAGAAGCTTAAAAAGACAGTTGCACCGTAGATGGAAACTAACTCCCAGTTTGTTAACTGTGTTAGGTACTATGTAACAAAGGCACGATTGGAAGGAATAATATTAATTTTTAAACAATGAAATAAATTATTTTAAATCAAATTTAATGAAGTAAATTACAATGTCGTCGACCAGTTGGCATGTCTGCCAAAGCCTTGTGCCCGAGTACAAATCCTGGAAAGTGTGTGTGTGATTATGGCAAAGCCTCGAGGGCTATCTGCCTAAGGGAAGGAATGCCTTCGTGGAGGACTTTCTAAGAGAAGCTGGCTCGTATACACATTACACTTGGAGAAAACCACGAAAACTCCCATGCAGCCAGCCCGTTCGCGGGATTCGAACCTCGGACCGAACTGCCAGTGTTCAGCGACTTTACCGCTCTGCCGCTGGTGGGCCACAAATCCTGGAAAGATCATGCATAAAGTATATAATGTCTTTGCAACGCAGCGGCACTTAAAACTCATTTGAATAGAAAGTATTTGAAGTAGCTCGATAGACTGGTTATTAGAAGAAAAAAGAGTAGAAGGCTTTTGGGTTCGTCTCCCTTGGTATTTCTATCAAAACTGGGTCTGAGTTGTTCAAACTCATACAGATTGTCTGTGGCCTAAGCCAACGACAAGTACAACCTTTTCCCTCTCGACCACTGCCAGTTCGTAGTTCTAATCCAGACTATGCTCACATCAAGAGGACTAGTTATCACAACAAGGAATAACAATCACTCATTAGATAAAACTATTACATTTTACGCACGCCGTTATTTGCTTAACCTAACAAATTAAAACTAAGGTGTGAAATTAAACTTAATATTCCGTTTAAGGGCTAACCATAGAGTTATGTTGACTTTCTTTTATCGTACGGTTCTTAAGAGTCTTTAGTTTTTTTGGAATCGATATTTGGTCTATAAAGTCCTTAATTTCGGCCAAAATCGGCAGCAGGTCCTTAATTTTTTAATCATCTGAAATTTCTGTTTGTTTTTACTACTGCTATTTTTGGTGTGATTTAGCATTTTGGAGGAATACTTTTGGCGATTCGATGACAAATATAATTAATTTTTGAATGGGTATATGGGTTATAATTTGTTTCTATTTCTAATATAAACAGT